CCGGCTTCCTGTCCACACCAGCCGAGCTGGGAGCACCCTTCGGGCAGTGTGGCCAGCGGGGGAGAGGCAGGACCCACCAGCTTCCCATCCTGCAGGAGACAGCCCCATTTCCAATTGCGCAAAGCTCGAATTCAGCCTGTGGAAGCGATCCCAGATGCTTTTGGCACCAGGAAGAGCCTTCCGTGAACCCAGGAACGTGGCCGGGACAGGCAAGAGTCCCCGTTGACCCAGTGAGCACTTCTGGACAGGCCACTGGCCCGCCCCCCAGCCGGGGGGCGTCTAGCGTGGAGGACACGCAGGGAGCAGGCAGCAGAGAGAGGCAGTCCGGGACCTCTGCGCCCTCCCTGAAGACCTGCTCACCCTGTTGTGCTCAAGCCCCCCCGTGACCCTGAGTGTTGGGGCGGCTGCGGACACACCCAGATTCACACTGTGCACACGCTTACATGAGTACAGACACGCGTGCGCACACCCAGCCCAGCCCCCTCCACACAGACGATGGCCATGGCAGCTGACAGAGTGCTGAGCCCCGGATCAGCCCCCCACCCCGCACCCCAAGGCCCCGGGAGCCGGCAGGCCTAAGCTGCACCAGGTGACAGCGGCCCCCAGGGCTCCTGCCCCTCGACCCGGGGTCAGGTGCAGCCACCAAAGGCCCGAGCGGAGGACGACCCTGAAGGACAGAGGAGCCCTTCCTGACGCCCCCGCGACTCTAGCCATCGTGGCCTCAGCCTCCCTGCCTCCCGGGACGGGCCTGCAGCCCAAGGCCCCTTGGCCAGGCCAAAGGGGTGTCTCCCCAGAGCTGCAGGTCAGCCCTGCCGACAGGCCCTCCACCGGCCACCCTGGGCCTCAGCCATCACCAGCTGAGCGCACGTCAGGAAACTGGATATATTTGCAATTTTTTAAAAGCTTGGAACCAGCGTTCAAAACGGGGCTGTTTTTCCAGTGGAAATTGTAACGTGAGCCCAGAAACTTCCCACTCACCCCGTCGACTTCTGAAGCTGGTGCCTGCTTGGGGGCCACCACAGGCTGGTCCACTGCCCTGCCAAGGGGGTCCCGCTGCTGTGCCTGCCCTCCTGACCGGCCAGGAGCCCAGCTTGGGAGGGGGGCAGGGCTGCCCACCGGGCTGGCGGGCACGGGGCCAGGAAGGGGCTCGGAAGCCCCACAGCCAGTCCCCCGCCCTCCCTGCTCCGCTCTGCTCAGACCCCAGGAGGTGCCGGATGGTTCTCAGCCAGACGGCCTGGGAGCAAGAGGCTGACCGCAGGCACCTGCCCCCCACAGCCAGCCTCTGGAGCCTGGTGCCCTCAGGTTCCCACTGCCCTCTCGGCACCCCACGCTGGGCCCACCTACACCCACCCATCCTCCTTGGAGGAACGGCTGCCCCCATCTGCGTCCACTTGAGCCACGGAAATGCAGGATGGTCGTGAGGGCCACTCGGCCCAAAGGAAGGCGCTACGGGGGCGCCACGGGGCAGAGCCCCGACACCGAGGGGAGGTCCCCCATGGCCTGGGACTCCCGACCTACTGCCCCCCCCAAGCTCTCTAGGAACCTGGGCCCAAGGAAAGAGGTGGGGGCCATGAAACACCATCACCCCACCCCATGGGGATGCTTGCTCTCACCTGCCCCAGGCCCCTGAGCCCCAGGCCCCCTACAGAGACGTGCCCTGGAGGACAGACCCCCACGGGCTGGAGACCCCTGTGTGCCACCCACGGGGCCCTGGTTCCAAGAGGAGCTGGCTGGCAGAGACAGGTCCCTACTGCCCCGGCCTCTTCCAGATAAGAGCAACAAACTACCCTCGGCCCCCAGCGGGGGTGGGCACTGGGGTACCGTGGGACCTGCAGGCTCCCTACCTGAACCGAGGTCCCCTCCAGGCCCAGGGGCTGCAGGGAGGGCTCGGGGGTGGCAGGGGCCTGGGCTGCAGGCCGGCACAGCTGGGCAACCTTGTGGACTCTGGAGAAAGCGGTGTGGGCAGCCCCTCTAAAGTGGTGGCCATGCTCCTTAGTCCTGAGCGTCCGGTATCCCTGCCTTCCTGGCCAGGTAGCCAGAGAGGGCATCGCTTGGGGAGGCCCTGGCGGATGGGAGGGGCGGCCCGGGACCCTATGCCTTGGCCCTCTCCCAGTCAAGCCGAGCAGGGCGGGCGGGGTTCACAATGAGGCAGGAAACCGCTGGAGGCCAGGCCTGCTGGGGACCCGGCTTCACGGGCCGGCCTCCTCTCTGCCCCAGGAGGATGGCATCCTCGGGGCCCCGGGGGCGGCGCAGTACGCCGACATTTGCCGCAGCCGGGGTCTGGGCCGGGGCTGCGGGAAGGCACGAGCCTTGGGCAGGCCTCCGACTACCTCCAGGAAGGGCCGCCCACTCGCCGTCTGGGAGGGCCCGCGCAGCCCCTCGTGAGTGACGGCCGGCGAGGTCGTCACGCGCAGGCGTGTGCACGTGCACGTCGCAGGGCGGGGCCAGACGCTCAGGCCTCAGAGCCCCGCCCCTGGCCCCAAGGACCCCAGTCCACAGCAGGGCCACCAGCCTTGGACCCTCCCTGCTGGGGTTTGAGACGGGACCCCGGGAGTGGATGCGGGCCTGGTGTCGGGGGAAGAAGACCACCCCGGACCCACCCTGGCCACCGGCCCGAGCCTGGGCCTCAGAGATACGGCAACAGCCCCTGCCCCACGGCCCCCCCACCTCTGCAGGGACCCCAAGGGTCCCGCACCCAGAGCTGAGCCGAGGCGGGCACATCACCCGCCGAGCTCCTGCCCGGCGCTCCGGTGGGACCCCAGGCCGCCCCTGCTGTGGGGTTGAGTCTGGTGGGATCCCTGCCTGAGAGGACGAAGGTGGTGCCTGGTGGGTGGAGTCAGCCCTTCCCAGGGGAGACGCATCTCAGAGAGGAAGGGAACTCGGGTCCCGTTTCAGCCTCAGCACAGGCTAAGGCGGGGCTGAAGCGCACCTGAGCTAGAGACACGGGGCAGCTTGGGGCCCTCGGAGCCCGCTGAGCACTGCTGCGGCAGGCCCGTCCAGAGACCCCCACCAGGCAGGCAGTCTCACAAATGAGGACTCCGGGAGGCCCCTCAGAAGGGTGCGCAGATGCAGGGAGGTGTGAGGGAGCGCCCCCAAGCCCCACACACCCACACGCAGAGTTGCACATGTGCGCGCAGAGTACACACAGGTGTGCACACGCTCCCATCAGGGGCCCCAGGCCGCCCTGGATAGGACTCTAAGCCCAGGGCCTGCCCCCCTTAGGGGGAAGGGACGAGCTTGGCCGCTTCAGGGATGGACCGCAGACCCCGTCCCCTCTATCCTGTCCGGGGGGCTCTGGGAAGCGGCGAGGGGCAGGGTGGGGCGTGGGCCAGACCCTGGCCAGCCAGACCCTGCCTCCCGCTGTCCAGCCTCAGCCAGGAGAGACCCAGTGCCTGTCTGCGGCCTTTGCGGGGGAAGGAGGCCGCCGGCGGGCCGACCTCGGCCCGGAGCAGGGCCTTTCCAGGACGCATGCTCCGGCCGTGGCCTCCACGGGGCGCAAGGCAGGCCTCCCCGGTGGGGGTGCAGGGTGGGGGGTGCGGCTCTCTATCCACACGCGGGGGCCTGCCTGCGCCCTCCCTGGGGCCCCCTCCACTCCTCCGCGGGCCCAGCCCGGCATCCGCGGGCCCAGCCATGAGGGCTGCTGGCTGGCGCGGCCTCATTTCCTCTTGGCCCGCAGGCTCCGGGCGGCCACGGGAACAAAGGGTGGATTGTGCCTCGTTCTGGGCCTGCTCCCCGCCCGGCCGCTGCCCCCGCGGGCCCCGGGGGTGATGTTTGTGTTTGTAGCCAAGTGAGAGTCCCCCGGCCAAGCAGCGAGGGCTCAGTGCACGGACAGCCGCGGGCACCAGCCGTGGGCCCGGGGGGCCGGGAGCCTGGGAGCCGGCAGCCTGTCCCGGACCCAGCTGGCCCGCCACCCTCCCCCTCGGCTGCCCGAAGCCCCGAGGCGGCAGCCAGGCGGCTCCGTGCCTGCCCCGCGCCGCCTCCTGTGCAGACACTTGCTGCACCAGCCCAGGGTGTGCGGCTGTCCAGCCCCGGCCCAGCCCGGGGCCCCCTTGCCCTGTGATGCCTGTGACTTCCCGTCACCCTGCAGTCCATCCAGGCCTCCCTGGCATCTGAGGGTGCCCAATGCTCCAAGCTGGCTTCTGGGGGGACCACGGGGATCAGACCTCTGGGTTTCCAAGAGGGCAGAAAGGAGAAGAACCACACCCTGACATTCTGCCTCCAACAGCCCCTCTCTCCAAACACTCTGTGAGTGCCGCTATGTGCCCGCCTGGGCCCCGCAGCCCATGGGTGGAGACACTGGCAGAAGACGGACAATCCAAGGCAAATGCCACCCCATCGGTCAGCCGGGCACAGGGTCCTGTGGCCGCAGACCTCCCAGCGAGGCTGGCACCCACCCTCGGCAGACCCAGGTGGACACGAAGGGCCCCGCAGCCACCCCTAGAACAGCCAGGATGCCTCAGCCACGGGTGCTGGGCTCAGGCAGGCAGATAGGGCCACCATCCTCCCAGCCAGGAACAAGGCTGAGCCCGGGGCTGGGGTCCCTGCTGGGCCCCCACCCCCACCCTATACAGCCCCCCCCAAGATACCCTGAGGCCTCGCCGGGGGCTCCCGCCCCCTGCCCCCACTGTTGGTTTAGCTCCCGCCTCCTCCATCAAAGGAGCTTTGTGGCCACGAGTGGAGCCGGAGCCGATGGTCTTGGAGGGGCTCCAGGAACGAACAGCAGAGGACGGCTTTTGGAAGAACGTGGAAAAAAAAAAAGAGGAAAAAGTTGTGAAGGAAGAAGGAATTTGCTTCTGCGGAGCCCGGTGCCACCCCAGCCCACCCCGCCCCGCCCTGGGCCCCGGTCTAGGCGGGTCCACTCTGTGTGCTCCGGGCGCCGGCCTGCTCTCACCTCCTACCCACGCGGTGGACAGGGGCTCCCGCTGGCCGGGGCCTCTTGTCTGTGCCACAGAGTAGGAATCTGAGGGTCAGAGTGGTGGGGAGCTGCCTGGGGCCTCAAGATGGGAGTGGCCGCTGCCCGAGAAGACAGTCCGTGCGCGCTGGGTGGGAGGTCAGCCCAGGGTGCTGCCAGGAGGCAGGGTGAGGGTTGAGGAGGGGCCCCGCACCCCAGGGCTGGAAGAGGACGCGGTGGTGACCCCAGACCCCCACCGTCCCAGCCCACACCAGAGGTCAGAGTCAGGCTGGGGCACGGCTGCTCTCCTCCACCACGCCGCAGTCCTCCTGGAGGCTGGCAGACCCCTTGTCCCCACCACAAGATGGAAGAGGGCGAGGGCAGGAGGCAGGGGTCGAGGGCACGGAGAGCTCCCTGCCCCTGCCCCCCACTGCGCCAGCCCCGTTGCTGGAGGTGTATACCCATCCCAAAGCGGCCCGTCGCTAGAGGTGTATACCCATCCCAAAGCGGGTCCTCAGGCGGGGGTAACTTGTTTTGTTGATCAAATTTTTGGCTGAGGGTGGGTCCCAGCGGGAGTGGCCAGGCCGCAGGGCTTCGTGAAAAGCCCACTGTGATGAACTTGGGGCCGGCCTAAGGAGGGGCAGGAGGGATGGGACAGTGTCCCAGTGAGAGCCCAGGAACCCAGGGCCCCACGAGAGAGACTGCCAAGTCCCAGGAGGGTCAGGAATCCTGAGCGCCAGGAGGGAACAGTGTCAGCGGGAGGGGTGGGGCGCCTCCACGCTCCCCAGGGCCTTCCCCCAAAGCCCACCTTCACTGCCTCCATCGGGGTGATGCTGGGTAGCCTTGCCCCACCCCCGCATGGAGCCCCCCATCACTGGGGCCCACAGAAACAGATGGCGCCTCCTGGGGACACAGCCCAGGCACCAGGGTCAAGACACCCCTGCGTGTCCTGCTCCCCAAGGCTGTCCTCTCCGCAAGGGTCTCTAGGGCCTGGGGGTGGCGCTTTGGGGACACAAGGACAGCTCGGCCTTTCCTCCAACCGAATGCTCTCCCCATCCCCCGAGACTCAGGAGAAGCGGCACCTTCAGCCAGCTGCTGGCAGCTGGCAGCACCTGCCGACCCGGGGCCAGATGCCCCGTGGCTGCTGAGTGAAGGGGGCGGGGTGCACAGCTCCCGGGTGCTGGGCACTGTGCCCGCCCACCCTCACCTGGGGCTGCTGCAGACCCCTCACTGGTCCCTCCATCTGGCCCTAGGGCCAGGGGTGTGTCTCAGCCCAGCCCCCACGGGGATGGATGTCTGACCCTAACCGAGGCTGCTCCCTGTGGCCGGCCAGTGCGCACCCTCTCCCCAGGCTTGTCTGTGGGGTTGGCGGTTCCACAGAGCTCAGCTTCCACGGAGTCTTGAAGGTGCGGTTGGGGAGGGGGCCAGGAGTCAGTGAAGCCTCAGGGGTGCCCTCACCCCTGCGGCCCTGGAGAGGGGAGGGAGCAAGCCTGCCAGTCCCGGGCAAGGCTGGGGTGGGGCTGAGCCCAGATCCAGGCAGGAGAGGCTGTGCCCATCCCCAGCCGCAACACTCCACCTTATCATCCCCGGCGAGCAACAGAGACAAGACCCCTCAAGGAGCCAGCCTGCACCCCTAGACGCAGGAGTGTGCTGAAGGCGCCTGGCCCGGGGCCTCCTTCACCTCAGAGCAAATGTGGAGCTGGTGCTGGCTGAGCACCCTTGCCCAGCGCCCGAGGCCCCGGGGCAGGGGGGTGAGACGCCAGGCCCAGTCGGCAGTAGCCACATGGTGGATGGGTGCAGCCACCCAGGGCTGGTGGGAGCCCTGTGTCAAGGCTTCCATACCTCATGTCAGCAATGCCAGGGGCGCGGGCAGCTGACCAGGGTGCCAGCTGCTGCCCAGCAGAGGCACACGGGACGGCGGGTTCTGAGCCCTCCAGGCACGGCTCCAGGTGACCCCAGGCAGCACAGCCAGAACGAGGTGTTGGAAGCTGCCGACCCAGGGCTGCTCTGGGAGCCCTCCCCGGGGGTCTCCGTGGGAGAAGCCCCACGGGAGGCCATGCACTGCATTCCACGGTCTGGGGACCCCTACCAGCACCCACCTGCCTGCCTGGGCTCACTAACACATGTGGCCTGCTGGGAAGCCCACCCTCCCTCCCACAGACAGTGGCAGCCCAGGAGTCAGGGCGGCTGGGTCAGGGGGATCACCGGCCTGTGGAGGCCTCTTGAGCCAACGCAGGACTGAAGACGGCTTGTCAAGGTAGCGTGAGGAGGGCACCCTAGGTGGGACTGACAGGATGGGGGTTGAATTGGGAGGATAGCATGGACCTTCAAAGGGCTCCCAGGGGAGCCCCTGGCCCCCGGCTTCCCTGATGCCCAGCCCATCTCCTGAGGGCCTTAAGCCCAGCCAGCCCCGGGTGGTTGAGTAGGATGGGCTCCCATCCCACCCCGGGTGAGGTCAGCAGCAGGCGCAGGGCGAGCCTCCTGCCAGGCCCCGCCCCCTGCACGTGATGAGCAGGCTTGGCCCCGCCCACCACCCGCAAGAGGGACACATGGGGGCTGGTGCCCCAGGCATGCGGTGAGGGCCGCTGCCCAGCCCAGCCCAGCCCCGGGTGGCTTGACCCTGTGTGAGCCCCGTGTCTCCGTACCCCACCTCGCTGCAGCTCCAGCCCACAGGCTGTCAGGTCCCAGGGCAACCCAGCCTGTGCCCTGGGTCTGGGCTGTGCCCTGGGTCTGGGTGCTCACCTTTCAGCCCCTTGATGCCACAGCGCCTCCACCCACCCTGGCCCCTGAGCAGGCCCAGGCCCCTGCAAGCCCTATGCGGTGTTGCCCAGCAGGCTGCAGCCTGGCTGGCATCTGCAGTCTTTGACCCCACATCCGGAGCCCTGGGTGAGCCTGTGCTGTGCAAGGGGTCCTCGTCCCATGTCCCATGTTCCTGTCCCCTTTCCTGAGTCTTAGATCCTGCATTCCTGTCCCAGGCCCCCCGGCCGGGCCGTCGGACGAGGCTCTGATCTCCTGCCAGGCCCTCCCGACCCAAGCCCCACAGGTGTGGCCCCATGTTCCCCCATCTCCACCCTCCTGCCACATCTCCCGGTCCCTGGACATCGGCCTCAGGGCCCCCACTCTGGGACAGCTGCAGAAGCCTCTCGGCTGCCCCTTTGAAGCCAGGAGGGCTGGGCGGCAGGGCGGGGGTAGGGAGGGGCCAGTCACACCCCCGGGTGTCAGAGCTTGGGCCGCCCTTTCGAGTTGGCAGGTTTGAAGAGAACAGCCCAGGCCACAGGGAAGGTACTGGCCTGGCTCTGGGGCTCCACCCTCCTGGGACCCCCACCTACTCAACACCCAGAACCCACCATGGACATCAGGAGTTTTGGTCCCAGTGACCCAGTCTGGCCTGGGAATTACGGAGAACACAGCTGGGTCCCCCTCCTCTTTCTCGAGACTGGGACCCCCCAGGACAAGGCCCAGGCCCAACTCCCACCCCGCGGGGAACTCACGAAGCTGGGGGTAGGGAAGATTTTGTGCTCCTGTTTGGGACCCCAGTGGCATCACGGGTGGCTGCTCGCTGGTCTTTCTGCCTGTGACCAAGGGCACATTAGGTCCTGGCCTTGGTATTTATGAAGGGGCAACTGTGGAGGGCCGGGAGGAGGAGCCGAGGTACGGCCCCCGAGCGCCCAGGAGGCGAAGCCAGGCCGTGGAGCCTCACCTGGTGCGACCCCGGGAGCCCCAACCCGACCCCGGGAGCCCAGGCCTGACTCGGAGACCCTCGGGCCCTTCTCACCCGCCCCACGACCCTCCCCTCGCGCCGCCCGGCCCCGCCCACTCGCCCTCCACCAGCTCCACCCCCGCCGCCCGGCTCCGCCCACTCGCCCTCGTGTCAGCCCCGCCCCGCACCGCACGACCTGGGAGCCCCCAGTGGGCAAGGCGCCGGGGATGGGGGTGGGGCCGGTGGGGCGGGGAGCGGGCTGGCCAGTGGCCCCCGGTAGGCAGATGTCACCCGGTAAGGGCGGCCCTGGGAGCCTTGGTCCCGCAAAGGGCACGGAGCGCCCCAGAGAAGGACACTGGGCGTCCGGGGCCACGTGGTGCCCTCCCGCCTCCACCCCTGCCCCACAGCTGGAAGCTGAAACATGGGAGATGGCCTGGCTGACGGCTCTGGGCGCCAAGGTGTGGCCGGCCTATAATCCGGGGTTGGACTTCTTGGTGGCCGCCCAGCCCCATGCAGATGGACCTGTCTTGTCGTCCAGACCCCCCCACCAGCCCCACACCCTTCCCGGCACCCCAGCAGGCCCACAGAGTGACCAGCCCACCAGCAGCCCTCTCTTCAGGAAGGACGCTGGGGGATGGACACAGAGCCACTGGTCTCCAGAGAACCAGACCTCTCAGGCTGAGACAGGCGCTAGGGGTGGGCAGGTCATTAGTCCCCCACCTTCCCTGGGGCAGATGGTGAGGCTGGTCCCCAGGAAACGGGTGGACAGCACCAGCCTCAGGCCAAGGGCACAGAGCTGGGGTCCTAGAGTCTCCTCTGCGGTTCCAAGGGACTGCACCCTCCAGGAACCTGCCCCTTTGCCCACATGCTGGGGAGGGGGCAGCTCAACTCCTATGACCCAGAGATGGCCCACTGCCTGAGGTCTCCCCACTGCCCAGGGCCTCCTCTCTCTCCACCCTTCCCCCTCGAACTGAAACCCAACCAGGCGTTGGCTGCAGCCAGTCCTGTCTGGGGAACATCTGTTTGGTCCCCAGCTGTGGGCCACCAGCAGCCCCCACTGCTGCCCTAACCACTGCCGCCCGGCTTCCCGCCGCCAGCCAGGCCCTGGGTCTCCCTTGGGGCTGTGGGTGGCCCCCGTCATCCGGCCTGAGCCTGGTGAGGGGCCTCCTGGGAGACAGGAGTAGGGTCCACCCCGGGAGACCAGAGGCTGGGGGCGCAGCACTGAAGAGGACAGGGGGTCCCGTCCTGCCCCACCTGGGGTCCCAGCGGAGGAGGGGAGAGGGGACTGAGCCCTGGGAGACGGCAGTAGAGGTGGGGGTCCAGCCTGGAGCTGGGGAGAGGAAGCGGAGCATGGAGGGTGCGGAGGCCCGGCCTCCAGGTCAGGTGGGGGCGCCCAGCCGCAGGTCAGGCAGGGCCCGGGTTCGTGGCCTGAAGTGCTGAGAACCAGGGGCTGGGTTCTGGGCCCCACCCCTCCTGCTCACCTACCGATGTGGTCCCACCGGGGGCCTCACTAAAATCGCACGACCTGTTAGTGCTTCTTAAAAGGCTCCAGAACCTGCAGGCCGGGGCGGCCCAAGCCGCCCAGCAGAGGCTTTGCTGCCTCACCCAGGGTGGATGGGGCCCTGCGGCAGAGTCCCCAGCCCACCTGCCCACCAAGGGCACGCAGTGAGCCCCGGAACGTGGGACAGGAGGAGCACAGGCCCTGTGGCGAGGACTGGGGGAGGGGGGTGCCACACCAGTACAGAAAGCAGACCCTTACCAAGCCAGATTCAGGCTGGCCAGAGACACGCATACAGGCGAGCGTCCAGGACACCGACGGCGGGTCCCGGGGGCCCCGAGCCTGCGGCCTGGCCATGGGGCTCCTGGCCTACAGGTGCACGCACGCGCACACAGGAAGGAACACCAACTTCGAGGAAAAGGATGCACGTTTTCTTGTTTAACAAAATAAATTAAATATACGAAGCTTCAGCTCAAACTCTATATAAAATTACAGAGGTCTGGGGCCACGGGTAATGGGGTGATGGGTGCCCAGGCCCTGCGTGGACATCCAGCGTGGCCACAAGGCCAGGTGGGTCCTGGGTCCCAGGAGAGGCCAAGTCTCTGTGGCCCAGCCCTCCTTTCATCATTAATATTATTATCTTAATTTCTTAAATATAAATATCAAGGGCCCTCCTCTCTGGCAGTGGGAGGCCGGGTGGGACGAAAGTCACCCCCAGCTGGCTCCAGCCTCTCAGGACAGGGCCCAAGACTGCTCCGCCCGACCCCCCTCCAGCGTACTGGTGGACTCCTGCACACCAGGACAGGTGGCGGCAAAAATAGCCTGGGCAGGGACACAGGCAGGCAGGCGTAGGGAAGGGGTCGGAGTTTTTGGTTTGCAAAGCCAGGGTGCCTCTCAGATCTCCTGCCAGGCCAGGGTGGGGGGGTGACCATGGCCCCCGTGAAATCCTTCTCACGGGGCCAAGGGATTCCTTCATGAGCTAGCCAGTCGCCACATGCGCACTGCGGTTACAATACAGACCTTCCCAAAGGCTTCAGTCTGAGTGTGTGTGTGTGTGTGTGTGTGTGTGTGTGTGTGTGTGTGTATCTCACGGGGCAGGGGAGATGGACCCACGGTCTGTCCTCCCCTGTGGCGCTCTGCCCCAGCCGGCCACTGGCCGTGGCCTCCACAAGCCCACCAGGAGGCCTCCTAGCACTGGTAGTGGATGTGTTGATGTTGGTGGACTTTGCCCTCCACGTGTGAGTGTGTGTGTGAGTGTGTGTGTGTGTGCGTGTCTGTGTAGAGTTTGGGGTAAAGCTTGGGGCCAGTGGCTGAGCCGGAGCCCAGCAGATGCTGGGGGGCGGCCGGGGGCCCAAGCTCCTCACATAGCCCCACTCCGGGGCCAGAGCCCAGGGTGGCGGGGGCGGGCAGGTCCTTATCCCCGCCGCGGTCGCGGGCTCCGGCGGGTGGGCGATGTGCAGGCGCCGGGGGGGGCGGGGCCGGCGCGCATGGCTTCTTCTTGGCCTGGCAGAGCCACAGGACCACGGTGCCCACGATGAAGACCGCGCCGGCTGGGATGCCGATGACCACCGGCCACGGCAGACTGGTGGTGGAGGACGAGGGGGCCACAGGTGGCCCTGGGGGCTTTGGGTCTGCGGGAGACACCGAGGGGCAGGGGGCGGACCGTCAGGGCGCGGGTCCCCCACAGCCCAGCTGGTGCACATGGGCGGGGCCTGGTGGGACACCCCCCTGGGGGCGGGGGCAGGGACGGGGTGGGACCCGAGGGGCGGGGCAGGGGCGGGGTGAGGCCCACGCACCGGGCAGCACCGTCAGGAAGGCGCTGCGGAAGCTGTAGCCCATGGTGTTGGCACCCAGGCAGATGTACATGCCCGCGTCATCCTGGCGCGCGCGCGTGATGAGCAGCTTGTTGAGGTAGGAGCCGTCGGGCCGCGACCACACGTCGCCGGTGGGCAGAACCACGAACTTCTGGCCACCCACGTCGATGGTGGAGTTGTAGCGGCCCTCGGCGCCATACTCCACGCGCTTCAGCCACTGGATCACCGGCTTCACGTCGCTGCGCACTTTGCACTGGAAGGATGTCGTGCCCCCGAAGTCCACCGTCGTGTTCACCGGGTGCGTGCCCGTGAGCACAGGCTTGGAGCGCGTCCGCTCTGCACAGGGACAGGCGTTGGGCGTGGTCCCGGGGCTGCAGCCCGCCCCCAGCCCTCGCCCTGCCCGCAACTCACGGATCACATCCACCTTGTAGGTGGCGTTGATGGCGCCTGCGCGGTTCGAGACGCGGCACGTGTACTTGCCGCTGTCCTCCGGGCGCAGGTTCTTCAGGCTCAGCGTCCACTTCTTCTTCCTGTGCTCGCCAGCCTCCGGGCGGGTCAAGGCCTGGTCATCCTTCATCCACATGATGTCGGGCCGCGGATGCCCACTGGCCACGCACTTGAGCCGCACGGAGCTGCCCACGGGCCGCGCGATCACGCGGCGCCTCATCTTGGAGGGCTGCGTGAAGCGGGGCCGCGCTGCAGAAGGAGGGAGGCGTGGAGGTCAGAGGGCCCAGCAGGGTGGTGGGAGCGGTGAAGCCCAGCCCCCAGCCCACCTGACGCCCCTCTGCTCACCCCACTGCTTGCTGGCTGGGTCTTCCTGGCCCCCAGAGGAGCTGTCGTGCCCTGGGCTCTCCCTTCCTGGACTGGTGTCATCTGGGGGGGTGGGGGGGAGAAGCAGGGAACATGAGAGGGGCCTCAGTAGCCCCTGTGAGATCCCAGCATGGACCCCAGCCCCAGGCCCAGCTGGGAGGCTCCAGCACGCCAGCAGGAGGCTGTGGATGCACACCCACAGCTCAGAATCCCAGGGACAGCTGGGCGGGAGCCGCCTCCCGGCCCACTCCCTGGGTGCAGGTGACCCCGCCAGGCGTGGGTGGGACGGAGGTCTGGCTCTCCCACCCTGGCTCCCGGGGGTCTGCAGGGCCTGGGGGCGGTGGGGGCTGGGGCCTGCCAGCAGCTGCAGTAACCCTAGCCCACATCAAGGGGCCGAGGGCTCGGTAAGCTGACATGGCTCACATACCGCCTGGTCATCCTCCCCTTTGAAAGGACGTGGTGGGGGGACACCCACAGTATTCCCATTCCACAGTCCAGAGGCGGCCTGTGGGGCCTGGGGCGGGGGGGTGGTCGGGGAATGCTGAGGAATGCCCCCTCCCCGGACAGCCGCCGCCTCCAGGGCCCAGGACCAAGGCCCGGCTCCTGGGCCCCACCCCAGAACCGAGTGGCGCGGTATGGGGGTCGGGCTCCTGCTTTGTGCTGCCCCGGCGCCCGGGGGGAGGGCCGGGCCAGCGCCCGGTACCAGCGAGTGAAGGGCGTGTTGCTGGGGCACCGCCCAGTCCCCTAGCCCGGGCCCCGGAGGCAGAGAACACAAGGCCCTCGCTTCCCAGCGGCCCCTCTGAACTCGGAAACCTGAGCCTCAAGTCATGGCCGACGCCAAGGCTACCGGCCGGCCTGGCCCACCAGGCTGCGCTTTGGTGCGAGCCGGGGCCCCCCACCCACTCCTGCCGTCTCCCAGCCAGCCCTGGCCCCTCAGGCCGGCAGACCTTTGGGGGAGAAGGGGCTGGGAGGAAAGACCCCCCCGCACCACCCCGAGGTGCAAGCTGAGGAGGCAGGCCCGGGCTGGGGGGTGTCCAGGACTCAGCAGGACAGGCCTGGTCCTGGGGGGCAGCGGTCAAGTTCAGGCAGGACGGGGAGTGGCGGTGGGCACTCGGGGAAGCGCTGCCCCCTGGCCGGAGTCTAACGGCACGCCGCAAGGCCCCGCCCCGACACTGACCCATCACTATGAGCGTGTAGTTGACACTGAGGCTCCCGAAGCCATTGGTGGCCTTGCACACGTAGGCACCAGCGTCCTCCGGTTCCACCTCCTTCACCTTCAGCCCTTGGGGCAGCACGCGGAAGCGGCTCCAGCCGCCGTGGATCGTCCGGCCGTCCTTGGTCCACATGGTCAGTGGCGGCGGGTCCCCCTCCACGGGGCACTGCAGCCGGACCGTGCGGCCCAGCCGGGCCACCTGCCTCGGGACCACCTTGTCCGCCATCCTCGGAGGCCCTGGGGGGTCAGAGGGCTCCATCAGGGAGGAGGGGACTGGCAGCGGGTCGGTCAGGGCAAAGGCGGTGTGGGCACTGGGAGCTGGGGAGAGGCCTGTCCCTGCCAGTAGCCCACCCAGGACCCCAGGCAGAGACGCCTGCCCCCTCTCAGACCACAGGGGCCCTTGTGCGCTCTCACACAGGAGCTGGAATGCAGTCAGGAGGACCGGCTCGCCCAGGACGCAGGTACACAGACCAGCAAGGACAGCCCCTCACAGACGGGGGGGCGCACACACGAGCGTCCGCGTCTGTGCTCGTGTGTGCCCGGGCAAGAGCCTCCCCACTACCAGCCAGGCCACACCAGGTCACCAAGGCATTTGGGGCAGAGGGCAAGCAGCTGGACACCCCAGCTCTGGGTGACCAGTCTCTCCCGTGGGAGAAGCCGGAGCCCTGGGCTGAGGTCATGGTGCCCTTGAACGTCCCTGACCCCCCCGGCCTGGGTCCAGCTTCATTTCCTCTGGGGTCAAGTGTGGGCACAATCGGGGTGATCGGGTCTAGACCACAACAGGGGCTAACCACAGGGAAGGACACCACGGACACCACAAGGCTACAGAGCTACCCCCAGGGGACCCTCAGCCCCCGCTGTGCCCGTGGCCGGGAGCTTGGGCCCATGTGCAGCTCCAGCACCACAGGAAGACTACGGGGGCTTCGGGCCTCTCTCGTGGGCAGCCACCCACTGTCCCTCCAGACCAGGAGAGGCAGCCAGAGGCACTCAGCTGCCCTTCCAAGGGGCTTGGCCGGGCTTGGCTCCCGGGACTCCAGCCACCAGCCACTGGAAGGTGCCTCTACCCCTCGAGGCCGCCACTCAGGCCAGGAGGGCCACGTCCGGGTGTCCTGGCCACGCGGAGGTGCCAGCCTGACGCGGCTGCTCTGAGACGCTATCGCTCAGAGCCCAAGGGCGGCATGTGTTTTCAATAACCAGCTGGTGTTTCTTCAACATGCAACTGCCAGCTGGTTCCACTGCTGCTTTGCAACCAGAGTGCTCCTGTGGGTCCTGCAGACGCTGTGGCTCCCAGGGCCCCGCAGGGCGCGGACCCCCGTCACCCCTGTTTGGGGTGCTAAGGGAGGGTGGAGGCCGTGCCCCCAGGGATGGGCAAGCTGACAGCCCCGGGCTCAGCTTCTCTGGGGCCCCAAGTGGGGAGGGGGTCCCGAGGCTCTGCTTCCAGGGGACTGGGGTTTGAGCGACAGAGATCCGGTCACCTCCCCTCGGCCCCCACGTCCCACCCCTATTCGGGGGGCCACAGCCCTGCCAGGTAGTTGCCCCAGCCAGGCAGCCCTCCTGCTTTCCCTGACCACCTCTCCCCAGTGACTCGGCAGTCTGCAGGGCCCGCCCCCAGGCACCGACTCAGCTCACAGTGGCGGTGGGGGGGGTCGCGTCAGGGCCCCCAGACAAGTGGACCCCAGGAGGACCCAACCAGGTTGCCCAGGGTCCAGGCCTCATTCCCAGGAGGACCCTGTCCACCACCTGTCACCGCCTGAAATCCCACCATCCCCAGGGGCCTCCAAGGCTGCAGGACAAAGAGGTCCCTCAGCCTGCCCCTGGCCCCCAGGCTGACACCTGGACACAAGGATCACAGGCGCAGACCCACACGTGTGCACACAGACACACGTGTATGCGGAGCCTCCCTGCTGGGGCTCTGCCTGTCCCGACCACAACCTGCAGGCACCAGTGGGCCCTCGCCAACACCCCCAGACCCTGAGCAGCTGGCCTCAGGGGCAGAGAAGGGGCCGGCCCAACCACGCGGCCCCGCCCCGTCCCCCGAAAGGAGGCCTTCAGAAGGGAGGGTGGGGCAAGTGTGGGTGGCGGGACGCTGCCTGGGGTCACTGCGAAGAGGAGCGACGGGGCCCAGTGACCGCCAGATGGGCCGGAAATGTGGCCCCGTGAGCTGTGAGCTGTGAGCCGAGCCGGCCTGAGGGGAGGAGGCTGGGCGCGCCAAGCAAACAGCCCCTCCCTCGGCGGCCGCCCCGCCCCCACCTGCACTTTGCGGACCGGACGCCAGCCCAGCCCCGCAGCTTCTCCAGAGACCCTCGCAGGCTCACAGGCGAGAGGCCCGGCCCCCCACACTCCCGGGGGTTTTGGCCGCCAGCACGGCTGGGGCAGCTCTATATTTAGCCTGGGAAACACAAGCCCCGTTGTTCCACCTGGACAGGGCATCCCGACGCTCTGCCGTGGGAAACTGAGGCCTGCATGGGGACCTGGGGCCCCTGCAGGGCCTCGTGGCGGGGGGGTGCGGCCCATGGGGGCAGCCCCTCCTCCCGGCCTTGGCCCCTCCCTAGAGCGCCGCCTCCAGGAAGCCCCAACCTAGCACCTCCCCAGAGCCACGGTGCTGGGCGGTTTGGGGCACAGGCAGGGTGCGAAGGGTGGGTGGAGGCTGTAGGCTGGGCAGGGTCTCCTCCAGGACACCGGCAGAGCATCGCAGTCGTGGGCAGAGGGGGCGTCGCCCCTCCTCCCCTTCCTCCTCCTCCCCACGCTCTGCAGCTGCTCCGGTGTTGTTTCAGTTGCTAAGTCAGTCGGACTGTGCGACCTCGTGGACTGTAGGCCGTCAGGATCCCCTGTCCATGGGCTTCTCCAGGGGAGGACACTGGAGTGGCTGCCATGCCCTACCCCAGGGGATATCCCAACCCAGGCATGAGCCTGGGGCTCCGGCACTGCAGGTGGACTCTTCACCCTGAGCCACCAGGATACCCAGAGCTGGGGCCACACGTGGACACGGTGCCACCCCCGTGTGCTGTCCCCCAGACGCACACCCCAACAGGGGGTGCAGACGCCCCTCCTCTGAGCACCAGAGACCCCCAGGCTTGCAGCCCCCCTGCCTGGCTGGGGGCTCCATTTCCCCAGGTTTGCTATAACAAGACCCTGCTGCGACCCCAGCTGACACCCCTCCTGCCCCAGGGAGGGCAGAGGCAGGCGGATGGAGAAGGGACCCCCAGCTGGAGCCCCCCAGGCTCCCCCACGCACCCCAAGTCATCATCACAGGCCCTGAGGGCCGCCCCAAAGCACAGTGCCCCACGCCTCAAGGCCTCTGCCCCCTGGGCCCCTCCCTGACCCCTTCGCCCCCCTCCCTGCCCCGGGGCAGGGTGAGCTGCCCTGGCCATTCCTTCTGGACCCACACTCCCTGCTCTGTTCACAGTCTGCCAGGGGCCTGGCCATGGGGAGCAGGGACACCCCAGCGTCGGCCTTCACCCCTCCTTGCTGCCCAGGGTGCTCGGTGGGCCCTGGCCTGCAACCCCAAGCTCCCTTCAAGGGGGGTGAGCCAGACAGCAGCCTTCCCCCGGGCTCCAGGTGCCAGAGGCCTCAGAGCAGGTGAGGTGATGGAGCCTGAGCCCCCAGCCTGCACGTCAGGGCAGCTCTGTCCCCAGCAAGCCCTGCAAAGCCCCACAAGTTTCCAGCCTGAGGAACGCTCTGGCTGGAGCAAGGTGGGGGACGGCGCGGATCAAGCCGACCACGACGGGCCTGGCTACAGGTGGGGGCAGCCCGGAGGAGGGGGCTGGGCTCTGGAGGCAGGCCCACCTGGCCAGCCTGGATGCCGGCACCAGCACAGTAGGCCGTCTAGGGGGTGGGACACCCGAGGGGTTCCCCACAGTGAACGCCAGGCTCTGGGCCCAGCACCTTCCCCAGGGAGGCGAGGCCCCTGGTGGAAGGGCAGGAGCACCCGGGGTGGGGGGTGGGCACAGGGGAGGACCACCATGTGGCTGCCAGGAGGCGGGCAGACCCCCACCCAGCACCGCTGCACACCCACACATGCACAGAGGCTCCTGGTCACCAGCTGGCCCGGGGCGGCCCCTGGGGGCCGGACCCACGGGATCTGTGGTGGAACTGGTAGGACCCGCAGGACAGGTGGTTGCCCGAGAAACCAGGCCACTCTGGGCGTGGCGAAGGGGCGGCCTGACCCACCGAGCAAGGCGGCGGGAGTGTCCCCACCACCTGCTGCCCAGCCACCCAGCAGGGGAGTGGGCACCTTACCTCCAGTGGAAGCCCAGCCTCAGGGCTCTTCTGCCTAACCCTCACCACCCCCAGGACCCTGGTGGGGGCCCCAGAGCATCACCCTGATGGGGCCACATCCCTGGGGGCTCCCATGGGAACTGCCAGTGGGGGATGGTGACTGGAAAGCACCCGGACCCACCCAGGGGCGCAGCTGAACACTGGGCAGCCCTCCTGCACTGTCGAGGCCTCGGTGGGCCCCCAGACTCAGTGCCGACACCCTGCAAACCTGCCCGCGCTTGCGCCCCGCCGCCACCTCACAGACGCGCTCCCAGCTGTCAGAGGGCAGAGAAGGCCCTTGTCCCCCGGGGCCTCCCACGCTTGCCGTGCTGGACACAGAGGACAGGGTAATGCGCTTCAGGGCGCAGGCCACCCAAGGGGCAGTCACCTAGGAGGTGATAGGACCCTTCCTGAGCCTGGAGCCCCCAGGCGTTCAGGGCGAATGTGGGGTCTCTAGGCAACAGCTGCAGACGACCAACCCCCAGCAGCCGGCTGGGTCCCACGTCCGCTCCACTGAGGCCCAAGCGGCTTCTCCAGGACGGGCCCAAGGCTCTGAGGCCAGAGCGACCCAGACTGGGCGCCCCCAGGCTCCCAGAGGCCATGCGGTGGGCCACTGGATCCTCAGGGTGAGCTCCGGGACCAGCCCCACCTTCCCACCAGGACCCAGACGGGCTGCCGGGCAGGCTGGAGGGGGTGGGGGACGGCCCTGGATCAAGGGCGCCCAGGGGCAGTGTCACAGGAGCCTCCTCCCTGCCGGCTCCCCAGGCCCCATTATCCAGCACACAGCTTGTGAAAATCTCTCACAAAATAAACTCCCCGGCAGGAAGAAGAGGAGTTGTGTTTCCTGCCAAGATGGGAAACCCTGGGGTTCAGCAGTTCCGAGGCTGGGGCAACTCCCTGCCCTGCCTCTGGCTCGGGGACAGCTCCAGAAACCCCCTCCCGGCCAGTCCCCCTCCTCCCGGGCCAGTCTGTGCTCGGTGCGGGCGTGTGCCCCCCACCCCAGCACGCCAGCTCCAGACCTTGCCCCAGCCACTCGGGGGGGCACAGGGTGGGAATGGGGGCCCCAGCTCACAAAGCCCCGGTGGACCATCCCCCAGATGCCCCCCTCAACCAACCAGCCCGTCGGCCTGGCCCAGGCCCTTCCCCACCTGAGGGCCCTACCCAGCTAGGCTAAGGCGCCATGCCCACCCCGGCCGTGGTGAGCTGCCCACCTCTGCCCACGACACTCCCATCGCTGGAGGCCTTCCTGGCCTCATCTGACCAGGCCCACGCCGCCTGGCCCTGTGACACCTGAGCCTCTCCAGGGGACCCTGGGCTGCAAAAGCCACTGCAGGTAGCCCAGAATGGCGGCCCCTGCTCCCCCAGGCCCTGAGAGAAGGCAGGCTGTGCTTACTGGAGCACCCACGACCACCGCTAGGAAGAGTGGGGGGCCGCCCTGGACAGGGCGTCCATGGGGTGGGCACCCCTTCCTTCTGCGTGCTGACCTGCTCACTGAGGCCGTCCCCTGGACACACCAGGCTGCGGTCACCCATGGAGGCACAGAATGGGGCAAAGCAGGCTAAGATGGGCGGCCTCCGCCCGCCTCCCCTGCACATCCGTGGGGCCTGGGCTGTCCAGGCGTCCAGAGGCCAGGGCTGCTGCTGGAGAAAACCATCAGCTCCCTCGTTAGGGCCACCACAGAGCCAGGAGGACTCGGGGGCCATTGATCCCAGTGCAATGGAGATGGAGCCTGGTAGGCAGCGCTTCCAGCCCCAGCCAAGGGCGACTTTCTTCGCTCCCTCCTCCCCGCAGAGGGGGCAGTGGTTTATTTTCCCTTCCAGGAGTGGGGCCCAAGACAAGACATAAGTGGGCCACTGGCCCACGTCCACCTTGCAGAGCCTGAGCCGGGCTCCCGTGAGTCCACCTCGGCCTGGGCCGCACACTGGCCAGTGCTGCCTGCAGGGGCCTTCAGGGCGAGGAGGAGGCCCCTTGCAGCCTGGTCAGAGGCTGAGGTCACCAGCACACACATCCCAGCCTTTCTGACAGCCGTACGCCTCCCCATGGCCTCACACACCCTGGCAGAGCCTTCCACCACAGCCCCCAGGCAAGTCGGCTTGAAGTCTGCACCATCCCACAGGCGGAAGGCGGCTGGGCATGCTGGCCAGGTTCAGGGGAGGGAGAGGGGCCTCCAGGGCCAGCTGCTCAGAGACCGTCCACTGCACCATCCTCAGAAAAGTTCACACGTGGCACTTCTCAGAAAACCCTGAAATGACTTCTTTCAAAGTAAATTGTAAAAGGCACTTCATTCGGAACCTCTCGAATTCCCACTGTGAGAAATAAAGTGGAAACGGAGAAAGCCAAATTCTTTTTTCAAATTTGAAAAAAGAAAAAGTTTAAGGCTAACCCACCAAGATTGTGAAACTTTGGGAAAAGGGGAACCTTAAAAATATTGAGTCTAGAAATGTACTGACTCCAGAAATTGTGACACCGCAGGGAAAGCGGCTTCAAGAAACCACCCAAACTCCCTCTGCGCTGGTTTGCCTGCCTGAAGAAGGTCCACACTCAGCCTGCTCACGCGCCAAGTGGGAAGGGCCTGAGACGACTCTGCCCTCCAGCCCAGGCCTGGAGGAGAAGCCAACGCGATTCAGGAAGAGCACCCCCCCCCCAGAAACCGCAGGGGCCCTTGCCCTTGGATATCGGCCCCCACCTCCCCACGGCCGCCAGGGCCCCCATCATGCAGCCCAAGGCCTCGCCAAAGGGCACCGAGCGGGGTGTAGCCCCTGGGGGACCGCTCGGCGCCGAGGCAGGCCCTGCTGCCCACGGCCGTCGGCGGCCCACTGCCACCCGCCCCTCCACTTCAGGCTCCGGCCGCTGGCCAGGTCAGGCCAGTGGCCTCCCGAGCCTCCCCGGCCAAGTGGCCAGAGGACAGGCAGGTTAGGGGATGGGGGAGTCCAAGCAGATGAAAGAGCAATCAGAGGTCGAGCTGCCGGCCCCGGGGGTGGAAGCCTCACTGGGCATGACCCAAGTGTCCGCACCACCCCGGACACTGCCATCCCGGCCACGCCTGGGCAGCCCCCACCCTCAAGCGAGCCAGCCAGTCCCCGGCAGGGCAGGCGGGGGGGTACCGTGGCATGAGGCCCACCTGGGCCGCCGCCCGCCACCCCACACCCGAATGTGGCCATATAAGGCCAGCTTGGGCTCGGTGCGCCTGCGGGGCAGCGGCGGGGGAGGGGTGCGACGCCTCAGAGGACTGGTGGACAGGGCAAGGACGATCCTGAGTGGTCAACACACCCACAGGGCTGGCCTGGCCGCAGGTCCCGCCTCGCTGAAGGAGGCCAGCACCGAACACGGTGGTGGGAGTCCACGGGCACGCATCACCTGTCGCCCGTCAGCCAAGGACGTCCCTTGCTGGGGCAGGGGTCCCTCCAGGGGTATCTGAACCTGCCCTCTTGCCCAGGAGGTGTGTGAGCCCGCATCTAGGCCCCGCTGTGGCACATGCCATACTGAGACATGCACTGTGTGGCCTTAAGTATGTGGTCTCAGTGTCTGCCTTAAGACAGGCCCCTACTCCCCACCATGCGGTGACCCCCTGTGCTGAGTCCTCAGTCCCCTGGCCCCAACCCTGCACCTTCTTAGAGACAGGCAGGTCTGGGTCTGGTCAGTGCACAGGTCTCGGTCATTAGTTCCACATGCCAAGAAGGTCCCTACTGTCCCCACACCCGACCCTGGCCACCAGGGGGTTTCTGTGGGTTTTCAGGGGCCTAACTGGGTCCACTGTGGCCAAACTGCCCAATGCCCAGGAATCCTCCACCAGTGGCTGCCCTCAGCTGCAGCAGTGGGTGGATGGGTGTATCCTGAGGGGAACTGGGGCCAGAGCCCACCCTGCCACCTAGTGTGGGACCCTGTGCCAGAGCTGGGGAAGCCCACAGAGTGAGACCACCCTGTGGGTGATCTGGGGGACCTCATGGTGAGAGGGGAGGCCCCGCAGATAGCTGAGGAGCCCCTTGGGTGTGGGGCCCACGCGTGAGCTGCCCTGGCCCGTGGGTGAGCTGGGGGCCCAGTGGGTGAGGGGCTGGGCTGCGCGCGGCCAGCAGGGGCGGGGCGCAGGCACGCGCTCCAGGCGGGCACTGTGGCAGAGTTCAGGGCCTGAGGGAAAGGGGCGGCGCTGGCGGAGGCCGGGGCGCCGGGCTGGGCGCCAGCACTCACCTCGGGCGGCGGCGGCCGGCGGGAGGGCCCCCAGCAGCAGCAGCAGTGGCAGCACCAGCGCGGGGCTCGGCGTCATCTCGGCCAGTGCGGACCTGGGGGGTATTCAGGGTCTGGTCACTGAAGGGCGGGTGGGGGACGGGTGGGGGGGCGGGTTCCCCGCGTTCCCCGCCCCGCTCCCCCTCCCCCAGGCCGAGGGCCCCGGAGCCGCCAGCACCCCTGGACAGAGGGGGACCGAGGTGCGGGCCGCCCCGCCTTCCCTGGCGCGCTCGGGGCGGAGGAAGCGGCGGCGGGGGAACCGTGGGTATCAAAGGCAGACAAAGGGTTTACACTAATTACCGACCTCCCCCGCCCCCCCTCCAAACACCGTCTGGATTCCTGGCGCTTGTAACTCGGGCCCTGCCCGCGGGACACACAACACCGGCGGCCCCGCAGATAATCGCCTGCGCCATTAGCGGACAAATTTGCGTTGGGGGGGCCCACGTGGGGTGCAGGGGCGGGGGCGGGGCGCGGGCAGGACCTCGGGTCGGGCGGGAGCCGCGGCGGCGCGTGCCGGTGCCGGCGGCCCCTCGCCGCGGAGCTGGGACCCGGACGCTCGGCCCCCGCCCCCGCCCACGGCCCCGGCCCCCGGCCCTCCGGAATCGGCCCTCCCAGTACGCCCCGGGAATCGGAGGCGCGCGGAGTGGCTCACCTCGGCGGGGCTCGCGGGCGGCGGGGCTCAGGGCCGGGCCCGCGGGGCGCGCTGCGCGGTCATCGCCGCCCCGGGCGCCGCACCCCGCCGCCCCGCGCCCCCGGGCCCGGCCTCGGGACGGGGCGGCGCTACCTGCGCGCGGGCGGCTCGGGCTGGGGCCGGGGCGGGGGTCGGGGGCCGGGGCCGGGGCGCGGGGCGAGGAGAGCGGCGGGGGCGGGCCGCGAGCCGGGGCCGCGATCCCGGGGCGGCGGGGCGAGGGGCCCGGGGCGCCGCGCCGCGAGGCGTCCTTCCCTGCGGGGCTTTGTCAACTCTCCCGGAGCGAGCGCCGAGCCCGCCGCGCGCCCCGCCCCGACACAACTTCCCGCCAATCGGCGCGCCGCGGCCCCCGCGCCCCGCCCCTCGACCCGCCCCTGTGCCCCGCCCCTCGCCCCGCCCCGCTCCCGAACTTCCCGCCAATCGGCGCGTCCTGGTCGCCGCGCCCCGCCCCCGCACCCCGCCCCGCGCCCGAACTTTCCGCCAATCGGCGAGCGCGCCCGCCCCGCCACCGCCTGGCTCTCGGCCTTAACCCTAGCAGTACGGGACGCCCGCGGGCGGGGCGGCTCCCCGGGGCGCGGCCACGCCCCCGCCCGTCCACCACGCCCCCGCAGCCCCTAGCCCCGCCCCCAGTTTGTTCTCACCCGCTCGCGGCTGGGGCAGCACACGGCGACCCCCCCCAGCCCCGGCCCAGCCCCGCCTCGCGTACCTCCAGGTCCCGCGCCGTCCACCTTGCAGCTGCACCCGTTGGCGCCTGCATCTGAGCCCCCAACCTCAGGCCAACAGCCTCCCACGCGCCTCTAGAGTTGTCCCTGATCGAGCTCCAGCTGGGCAGTCAGAGTCCCGATATCTGAGCCCCCTGGTGGTCGTCGGGAACGGAGGGGAGATCCAAGACCCGGCTCTGACCCCAGGCGGCTCCAGGGAGGGCCAAGTCGGGCATGACGTGGGGTACAGAGGTCCCGCCCTGGCGCCTCGGCTCAGAGATCCGCTTGACCGAGAGCAGATGTGTTCCCACCGCCCACTTGGCGATTTGCGGCCTCCTATCCGCTAGCGATGGTGTGCCTGTGCGCTCAGTCCTGTCCAATTCTTTGCACCCCCATGGACTAGCCCGCCAGACTCCTCTGTCCATGGGATTTCCCAGGCAAGAGGACTGGAGTGGGTTGCCCTTCCTACTCCAGGGGATCTTCCCCACCCAGTGATCAAACCTGCCTCTCTTGGGTCTCCTGCATTGGCAGGTGGATTCTTTACCACTAGCACCAGGTGGGAAACCCAGTGATGGTTACACAAGGATATTAATAACTCAGCACCACCTTTAATCCTCACAATCAGTCAGGCGTCTTGCTGTCACCTGTGCAGATGAAGAAATGCAGGCACGGAGAAAGCAGGTAATTTACCCAAGATTTCCCAGGCACTTGAGATGCCCAGGCCTGGATCCATGCACTGCAGAGTGCCCCTGTCCTGTGGCTCATTCTCCCCCTTGCTCCACTGCCCTTCCCTTTCCTATTCAGCAACCAACATACACTGGCCCCCACGACTGCCCTCCTTCTGTCCATCACCTGACCACACCCTGAGCTCACTGGCCTGAATCAGTGGGCCAGGCTCCCCTGGCTTCCCTTTTGCTGTCCCTTCACTGGAATTGAGAATCATCATTTTTTAAAATGTATTTTAAATTTATTAATTTCCTTTTTGGCTGTGCTGGGTCTTTGTTGCTGTGCAAGGGCTTTCTCTAGCTGTGGCTTGTGGGGGTTACTCTTTTGGTGGTGTGCAGACTTACTGTGGCAGCTTCTCTTGTTGGGAGCATAGGTTCTAAGTGTGCAGGCTTCAGTAATCAAGGCACATGGGCTCAGTACTTGGGGCACGTGGGCTTAGTTGCTCCACAGCAGGTGGGATCTTCCCAGGTCGGTGATTGAACCCATGCACCCTGCATTGGCAGGCATATTCTCAACCACTGGACTCCAGGGAAGTCCCAGACTCATCACTTAAAAACACAACCCTGACGCTTCTGTGGCTCCCCAGTGCACTCAACACAAACCCCACCACCCCTGAGGCCCTGGAGGCCTGGGCCCTGCCCAGTTCCCACCCCCGCTCCTCTGCAGCAGTCCCTCCAGCCCCTCTGGACCTCTGCTCCTGCTATTCCTCTGAGAACCCTTTCTGGAACAAGCTCTCTCCTCTTAGGGTTTCCTCTTCCAGGAAGTCTTCCAGGGAAAACTGGAACTGGAGAGGTCTTGCAGGTTAGTATCCCCAGGGCAGAGGAGAGCTGGATGAAGGGGTGTGAGCCATCACACCCCTCCAGGGTTTCAGCCCATGGAGACCCAGGCTGCCCACTCCTTCCAAGCCAGCGATAAGGCGGTTCCCCAATCCTGTTTCTGGGCCGGTAGGGCACCCACCTCAGGGGTGGGTGGTGGTGAGCTGGGTGCTCACCATCCTGCCTGCGCATTGAGTGGAGGCCCAGACGCAGACCCGAGTAGCCCTCCTGCAAAGGCCCACTAGTCAAAGCTATGGCTTTTCCAGTAGTCAGGTAAGGATGTGAGAGTTGGACCATAAAGAAAGCTGGGCGCCGAAGAATTGATGCTTTTGAACTGTGGTGTTGGAGAAGACTCTTGAGAGTCCTTTGGACTGCAAGGAGATCCAATCAGTCCATCCTAAAGGAAATCAGTCCTGAGTATTCATTGGAAGGACTGATGCTGAAGTTGAAACTCCAATACTTTGGCCTGAAGTGAAGAACTGACTCTTTGGAAAAGACCCTGATGCTGGGAAAGATTGAAGGCGGAAGGAGACGGGGACGACAGAGGATGAGATGGTTGGATGGCATCACCAACTCAATGGACATGAGTTTGGGTAACTTCCGGGAGTTGGTGATGGACAGGGAGGCCTGGCGTGCTGCAGTCCATGGAGTCCATGGGGTCACAGAGCATCCGACACGACTGAGCTGGACTTGGAGTCAGGCTTTGCAGCAGCGGGCAGGAAGCCAGGAGCGGGCGTTCAGCGCCTAGCCGAGGGTGGTGTGGGCAGCGCAGTGGGTCGCAGACAGGACCCCTGGGACAAAGGGGGCAGGTGGGCTCTGGGGGAGGCGCGGGGACAGTGTTGTGGGGAGACGTCGCCGGGCGTGCAGAGCTGATACAGGTGGGAGGATGCCTGCAGCAGGTGTGCGGAGGTGGGTGTCGGAAGCAGGAAGTGGCCGAGGGGGCCCTGTGCGGGGAAGGGTGAGGTGGGCGAGGGGAAGGGCTCTCGCCAGGGGAGCGGCTGCAGGTGCGGGCGAGTGGCCCGGCCGGGCAGGGCTCTGCGCGGGGAGGCGCTGCCCCCTGGCGGAGGCTCGGGGAACGGCGGGCCGCGAGGTCGCCCGAGTCCCGTCCCCACCCCGGACCTGGGCCTCCCTCTCCGCCTGGGACGCGGCTCTCCCACCCCGGCGCCAGACCGGCCTCCGCGCCGCTGCCCGGGCTGCCGCCTCCACGGAGCCCTCCCACCAGCGGCCCCCGCTCCCCCTCCATGAGACTGGCCCCAGAATATGAACACTTTAAAAACTGAAATCTGGGCAATTAGCTAAGCTCCTGGTCTCAGTCGTCTCATCTGCAATCCGACCTTGTCGAATGATCTTGGGGACTGCAAGTTTCCATCTTCCACCTGCTGGACACAGCGAGCCCCAGGAGGTATTAATCTGCTGCTCTTCTTACCATCCTCTTTCCACCAGGACAAGCTGAGCCCTGGCTCTGTGCCAGAGGCTGGGACAAGTGAGGGTGGCCAGGCAGGGCAGGTCCACAGCCTGGAGAAACGGCATCTCAGGAGCAGGGGTAGGGGCCGAGAATCACCTCTGAGGATGGGAAGTGCTCACCAGGGAGCTGAGGGCCCCGACATATGAGCTTCTGCTCCCCATGAAGCAAAAGGGACCAGAGTTACATGCTCTCTGCATGTTAAAAAATATTTAAATTTTAAAAGTTCAGAATACTTCGCTGGTGGCATGGTGGATGAGAACCCGCCTGCCAATGCAGGGGACGCAGGTTCAATCCCTGCTCCCGGAAGCTTCCAAGCGCCGGACCAGCTAAGCCCGGGTACCGCAACCACTGAGCCCTCTAGAGCCTGCAGGCTGCAGCTACTGACCCCCCCACGCAGCAACTGCTGGAGCCCGGAGCCCGAGCTCCGCAGCAGGAGAGACTACCACAGTGAGAAGCCCGCTTGCCACAGCTAGAGAAGGCCGTGGGACTCAACAAAGACCCAGTGCAGTCAAAAATAAACAATTTTTTAAAAATTCAGATATATATATGTATGTGAGAGAAAGAGAGAGCGAGCCTGGATCTCTCTTGGCTGGGGACAGCAGCCAAGATGGGATCAGAAAACAGGAGACAGCCATCCTTGCGAGCTGGGTCACGGTCACTGCTCCCTCCCTCCCTGAGGTTTGCAGTGCAGGCAGCAGGGCCCAGGCAAAGCCCAGAGGGAGGGCGGTTCCGGAGAACATGCTGGCTGGTGTTCATGGGGCAGAGTCCTGGGAGAGGAGAGATTGTGCAGACAGTGCCCCAGGGGCCCGCAGAGGGTCTCCTGGAGGCTGCAACTGAGGACCCATCAGCCCAGGAGTGGACAGGAAGCATCAGAGGCTGAGGCAGAGCCGCCCTGAAGGCTGGGAGCCCGCAGGCAGGAGCAGTGCCTGCGTCCAGCAGCCAGAGCGGAAAACCCCGCTCACTCTAGGAGAAGTAGAAAATCTGAATATGTTTATTAAATAATTTGAATTTCTACTTGGAAACCTTCCCACAAGGAAAGCACCAGGCCCACATGGCTTCACCAAGAAATTCTACAAAACATTTAAGAAGGAAATAACATCCATTCTATGCAAACACTTGCAAAAAGGTAGAGGAGGGGCTACCTCCCAACTCATTCCATGACGCTGAATCCAGAAATGCACAAACACTATCAGGCATGAAAACAGATGCAAGACATCTTAAATGTTGGTTAATCAAATCCAACAACATATGTAAAACAAGGATACTACATGATGATCAAGTGGGATATATCCAAGGATGCAAAGTTGGTTTAACATTTGAAAGTCAGTCACTGTAACATACCATATCAACAGAAAGAAAAAAGATTATCTATTATCAATAGATGCAGATAAAAGCTCTGGACAGAATCCAGCACCTGATCCTGATGTTATTAAAAATAGAAACCCCAAAACCTCTCAGCAAACTGTCAAAGACAAGGCCTTCCTCCACCTGACAAAAGGCATCTGCAGAAACATTCCAGCTAACATCACACTTGACTGTTAAAGAGTGATGCTCCCTGCTAACATCAGAGCCAGTACTGGGCTTTGCTCTCTCCCTGGTACTCAGTATCGTGCTAGAGGGTCAAGCCAGTTCAAACTGGAAAGAAAGAAGTAAAGTCTTGATCTGTAAATGACACAATCATCTATGTGAACAAGTCTATGGAGTTGACAAGAAAAAAGTCACCAAAATGAACAGTATCGGCAAACTTAGGCAAGGTGGTGAGACACCGTGGTACTCAATGCCATCGGCCCTGGAACAGTGAGCCGCACACACACAGCTGGATCGGCAAGGTTTTAAAGAGCCAAGCACACATCTAATCAGTCGCATGGCCTGCTTCCCAGTTCAGTTCAGTACAGTTGCTCAGTCGTGTCCTACTCTCTGCAGCCCCACAGACTGAAGCACGCCAGGCCTCCCTGTCCATTACCAGCTCCCGGAGTTTACCCATAATCATGCCCATTGAGTTGGTGATGCCATCCAACCATTTCATCCTCTGTCGTCCCCTTTTCCTCCTGCCCTCAATCTTTCCCAGCATCAGGATCTTTTCAAATGAGTCAGCTCTTCACATCAGGTGGCCAAAGTATTGGAGTTTCAGCTTCAGCATCAGTCCTTCCAGTGAACACCCAGGACTGATCTCCTTTAGGATGGACTGGCTGGATCTCCTTGCAGTCCAAGGAACTCTCAAGAGTCTTCTCCAAAACCACAGTTCAAAACCACCAATTCTTCGGCTTTCTTTACAGTCCAATTCTCACATCCATTCATGACCACTGGAAAAACCATAGCCTTGACTAGATGGACCTTTGTTGGCAAAGTAATGCCTCTGCTTTTTAATATGCTGTCTAGGTTGGTTATAACTTTCTTTCCCAGGAGTAAGTGTCTTTTAATTTCATGGCTGCAACTCACCATCTGCAGTGATTTGGGAGCCCCCAAAAATAAAGTCTGACACTGTTTCCACTGTTTCCCCATCTATTTGCCATGAAGTGATGGGACCAGATGCCATGATCTTAGTTTTCTGAATATCGAGCTTTAAGCCAACTTTTTCACTCTCCTCTTTCACTTTCATCAAGAGGCTCTTTAGTTCTTCTTCACTTTCTGCCATAAGGGTGGTGTTATCTGCATATCTGAGGTTATTGATATTTCTCCCAGCCATCTTGATCCCAGCTTGTGCTTCATCCAGCCCAGCATTACTCATGATGTATTCTGCATATAAGTTAAATAAGCAGGGTGACAATATACAGCCTTGACATACTCCTTTTCCTATTTGGAACTAGGCTGTTGTTCCATGTCCAGTTCTAATTGTTTCTTCCTGACCTGCATACAGGTTTCTCAGGAGGCAGGTCAGGTGGTCTGGTATTCCCATCTCTTTCAGAATTTTCCACAGTTTATTGTGATCCACACAATCAAAGGCTTTGGCATAGTAAATAAAGCAGAAATAGATGTTTTTCTGGAACTCTCTTGCTTTTTTGATGATTCAGCGGATGTTGGCAATTTGATCTCTGGTTCCTCTGCCCTTTCTAAAACCAGCTTGAACATCTGGAAGTTCCCGGTTCACATATTGCTGAAGCCTGGCTTGGAGAATTTTGAGCATTACTAGCGTATGAGATGAGTGCAATTGTGCGGTAGTTTGAGCAATCTCTGGCATTGCCTTTCTTTGGGACGGGGATGAAAACTGACCTTTTCCAGTCCTGTGGCCACTGGTGAGTTTTCCAAATTTGCTGCCATATTGAGTGCAGCACTTTCACAGCATCATCTTCCAGGATTTGAAATCGCTCAACTGGAATTCCGTCACCTCCACTAGCTTTGTTCATAGTGATACTTCCTAAGGCCCACTTGACTTCACATTCCAGGATGTCTGCCTCTAGATGAGTGATCACACCATCATGATTTTCTTGGTTGTGAAGATCTTTTTTGTACAGTTCTTCTGTGTATTTTTGCCACCTCTTCTTAATATCTTCTGCTTCTGTTAGGTCCCTACCATTTCTGACCTTTATTGAGCCCATCTTTGCATGAAATGTTCCCTTGGTATCTCTAATTTTCTTGAAGAGATCTCTAGTCTTTCCCACTCTATCATTTTCCTCTATTTCTTTGCATGGATCATTTAGGAAGGCTTTCTTATCTCTCCCTGCTATTCTTTGGAACTCTGCATTCAAATGGGTACATCTTTCCTTTTCTCCTTTGCTTTTTGCTTCTCTTCTTTTCACAGCTGTTTGTAGGGCCTCCTCAGACAGCCATTTTGCTTTTTTGCATTTCTTTTTCTTTTTTTCATTTCTTTTTACCTCACGTCCAAGGTAAGAGAAACCCCACTAAGATGGTAAGCATTGAGAGAGGGCATCAGAGGGCAGACAGACTGAAACCACAATCACAGAAAACTAACCCATCTAATCACATGGACCACAGTCTTTTTTTTTTTTTCTGTAGTTGTTATATTTTATTTTCCAAGTAATACTGATTAAAAATATTTACACACCTACTTTTAAGTCCACAGTTTAGCACTCTTATTTGTATGGCTTTAAAAGTTATAGCACAAGATCTTTACATTAAGGATTGGGGGAAAAGATTCATTCAAAACAAAGCCTGATATATTATATACATGTTTTTCTCTGTACTTTATTTTAAATACATTAATTTTTAAATGATGCTCATCTTGTTTTCATCTGGTGGTAAAATTACTAGTGCAACTTTTCATCAAAATAAAGTTTACCACAGATATAAATGAATTTTCCCAATTGAAAATGGCCCTTCAGCTGCCATTAAATGAAATTTCTCAATCTAAGTGAAAAAGAATTGGTAGCTGTCATTATAGGAAAAAAAATATAAAGTACTACAGCATCACCTACACTGCTTACAACACAAATTTTGAAAGAACTAGAGATGCTTTATAGAAGTTTAGTTGGTTTTGAAAAGGCACATGGGTGTGTGTGTGTGTGTGTTTTTTTAAACATTCTAGAAATTCGCCACCACCATTCTGTTTCTGTTGCAGAGATGACATCTATTACTATCCATCAGGGCAGACAAGGATGTTGTTCAAGCTAAAGGAAGCCAGAAGCCAAAATTTAACTACACAGTAACAATGCACTTTTCTTCATGCAGTCTTGTTTCCTATATATTCAAATTTTCTAACATGCATTAGAATACATAAACTTGTATTCTAATGATTTTACATTTGATTTTACAACATGGGGGGGGGGGGGTACTTGAGGAAGGACATGACCAGGGAAGGAGAGTAAGAACTCTTACCACAATGAAAATATACATTCGTACCCAACTATATAATAAGAATATAATCCATTTTAAGTTTTCTAGAAATATACTTCTCAAAGCTTCCCATTCACTTATGGGAAAGATCCCTCCTCTGTGGCAAAGTGGGGGGAAATCAGTCTGCTTCCATAGAAACAGTTCAGCACAACAGCAAAGTTTAACTTTGGTCCACATGTCTGTTAGCGTAAGGACAGTCACACTGCCCATCATCAGTTCAAAAACCCAACAGATAACTTTAAAAATATATGCATTTGTTATTTCATTCTAAAACTGGCATAGGTGTTCTGTTCTCATTTCCTGCCTTTTCGGCTTGGGAATCCACTGTTGATTTGGTCTCTAAAGCCTCAGCATCTTCGTGTTCTTCTGTAGCAGCCTCAGCAGCATCTGCCTGGGTAGGCCCTCTCTCCTCTTGGTTCATGATTTCAGGGGTCACTTGATCCAAGTCTGCTTCTAGAAGCTCAGTTTGTACTTCCACTGGCATCTGATTTACCCGTTCAACATGCAGCTCCTCTACATGGACTTCAGTACCTTCTTCAGTCTGAATTCGCCCCACTTCTAGATAACTTACCTGGACCTGCTCTGGAAGCTCACTCATGTGCGACTCGTGCACTTGGCTGTCCTGGAGCAGATCTGGATGGACCTGTTCCACAGTCACTTGTGCTGAGTCCACCTGAACCTGGAGCAGTGGTAACACATGCACCTTCCCAACTTGTTCTATAATAGTCATTGACGTCACAGGTTCAGTTTGCACACGTGTTTCTACTGAAAGAACTTCTTCAGTTACCAGGCGCTCTGAAATATTATGAGTATCACTGAGATGACTCCTTAATTCATTTCCTTGCATAAACCACAAGTCACACAGAGTACAATGGTTGGGTTTATCTCCAGTGTGTATCACCAGGTGATCTTTGAACTGGTCCCAGCTGTTAAACACACTATTACAGACCTGACATTCATAGAGCTTCTTTCTCCCCTTTTTTGCTCCCACTCCAGTTTGGCATGCAGTCAAGTGACATTTGAGGGTACTATTTCTAGCAAATCGTTCATGACAATTTGGACATTCAAAAGGTTTTTCACCTGTATGTTTTTGAAGATGCTCTTTAAAATGTCCAAAGTGGTCAAACTGCTTCTCACAGTACTGACATATGTGTATTTTTTTCCCAGTTCTCTGCTTCTTACTGACTCCACCTTCTTCCAGGTGGTAACAACTGAGGTGCTGTTTCCACGCGCTCTCCCGAAGATACATTTTATTGCATATTTCACACTTGAAACTCTCAGTGGAGTGTGATTTCATGTGTTCTACCTGTTTGCTTGTGGGGTCAGATGCACAGCCGTCTTCATCTTTAATCTGCCCTTTTCTATCGCCTTGGCGGTACTTGCTGGTAATATCTGCCAACAATGCCAGAGCGGAATCATCAGAGGAACCTGTGCTCTGAATGTACTTTATGGACTGCTTGGCAGAAGCCACTTCCTCCAACGTTTCGATGCCTTCATCTTCCACTTCGATTGTGCCTTCGGCAATCTCCACCTCAATTTCAAAAGGTTCAGATTCTGCAGATGGCAATGACTCAGTGATAACATTTGAAGTTTCTGCAATCTTTCTTTTTTTGCTTCATTTTTCCCTGTGGTATTTTCCTCTAGTGGAGCTGAGTTTTCTTTGTTTCTGACTTCAAGGGCTTTGATAGCTTCTAGCATCTGTAGAAACTCTGCTGCTTTCCATACATCATTGGCTTCTTCTTGTCCTTGTATCATTAACTTTGCTGTATATGTGAACTCAATCAAATGACGAAAGGCCATTTTACTAACACCTTCTATCTCCACCAAAGGTTCCTGAGTAAACTCCTGAAAGAATTTATAGAAGAACTTGCTGCAAGCAGCCAAAACAGCCTTGTGGGCCTTAAAATGGTGTCCGTCGACAATCAGGGTGATGTCAGTAAACCGGTCCTGCTCTCGCTGTTCATTCAATCGGTCCAGGATCATCTTATGATGTTCAGGGAACTCCTGAAGGCATTCCATCGTCTCTTCGGCCTCCATGGCCGTCCGGTTGCTCTACGAAAGAGGAGCATGATAATGTACAGCCATGAGCTCGGGCTGAGGAACAAAACCCCTAAAGCACAAAATAACAACAAAAAAAACAAAACCCCAGCAGCGTGAAGGAAAGGGGGAGGGTGAGGCAAGAGGAGAGGAAGGCGAGGGAAGAAAGAAAGGCGAGCCGGGCGGCCGCCGCGCGCTGGGGGCCGGAGCCGCGGCCGCGGGACTCCAGCCGGACCTAACTGGAGTCGGGAGACGCGAGCTGGAGCGGGGTGGGCACAGCACCGGAGGCTCGGCAGGGGAGGAGACCCTACAGCCGCCGCGCCAAGCCCCTCGGCCCGGCCCTGGCTCCCGCCTTCCCGGGACCCGGTCCGGCCCACGGCCCACAGCGACTCCCGGGCCGCCTCTCCCTCCCCCGCCCTCCCTCCCCTCCCCCGCCCCCGGACCACAGTCTTGTCTAACTCAGTGAAACTAT